TGAGGTCAGCGACTGTTGGCGCCCGCCCCACCCCGCCTCGCCCCGCCGCGGAGCGCCCCGCAGAGAGACCCCCACCGCCGCCGTGGACCTCCTGGGCCTGCGCGCGGCCCGCGCTGCTCTCGCAACAACCAACTAGGGCCGCGCTCCTGCCGTTTTAATTCGCAGTGTACCTAGCGGGCAGTGACACGCGGGAGGGGGAGGGGCCGCGGCGGGTGCGGCGGGCGGGAAGCCAGGCGATCGGCTTTCTCTGCACCGCTTTACGTAACGCGGCGGGGCGGGGCGGGGCTCTGCAGCCGAGGCAGTGGGTGCAGCGCTAGCGCTGGGTGCGCTGCTGGTGTGAGTCGGGTGTCACTCATCAGGCAGGAGACAAGGCTTGGCGTTGCGCGGCGCGGGGTGCGGGGACGGTCGTGGAGAACCCCCCCCCCCCCTACCACCGTTGGGCGGGGCCGGCCAGCGCCCATTTATTGATTTAACCTTTCATCTCTACACCACAGTCCAGGTCCATCGCCCAGAGTGTGCGAACACACGCGCGCACACATTCACAGACACACTCACAAGCACATAGAAAAATCGTACACTCAAGCAGCAACAGAGCGCTGACACGAGGGGAAAGGGACCAGCGGGCAAGTTGGACGCCGCTGTGCTACTGCTGCTGAGGGAAGGGGAAAAAAAAGGGAGCAGAAAAGAGGGAGCAGAAAAAAAACGAAAACAAGAACGAAAACTTTCGTTGGCCACCCTTGCCCCGTCGCTAGTCTTTTCGGAAACAAAATTTAGCAAAAAATAAAAGTAAAGTACAGATACATTGGGCGCGGGTGCGGCGTATGAAAGTTTCCAGGGCCCGGGAGCCCGGCGGGCCGCGGGCGGGCATTGCCGCTTCAAAACTCAACCCGCGGCCGCGAAACTGATGTTGTTCATTACCGAGTCGCGGAATAATCAACTTTATCAGTCCAACTCGACGAGCGGATAAACTTTGTTGTGCCGACCGCCCGGGCCGGGCCAGGGGCTCGCGCTGAGCCTCCGCGCCGGCCGCCGCAGCCCACCGCGGGTTAAGGCTCGTGAAAGGGCGGTGCAGGGGGAAGGGGTTGGGGGGGGGGGGGTTGCAAATGCGTCAGATATGAGTACAGCACGTAACGGGTCCGGAGCAAGGACGACACACCCGGCCGGACGCGCACGGGTCGCGCGGCACGCGTAGGTGGACATATACAAGAGTAGTTGTGTGGCGGTGGTGGAAGGGGCGGAGGAAAGGGTTCCTCTATTTCCCCCACTCTCCCTGAATGTGCAGGCGGTCGTATCCATATACAGGCAAGGAGTGAACACCGAGTGGTCTATTAGTGAAAGTCCCGGTGAAAAGGAGGAGGGGGAGGAGGGGCGCCGCGCCACGGCCTGCAGCAGTACCATGAACTGCAGCAGGACGTATACTCGCTTTCCCTCGACAGGCGGCGCGCGCCGGCCGCCGCTGACCACGGCCAATGCGCCGTCGTCATAATCGTTCATCTGCGAGTTGGTCTCAGAGTCGTGCACAAATGATTGCGTCACTTTCGTAGGGCGGGGCACGTTTCCAACGGCACAACGTAGGAAATAGTTGTAGTAAATGGTGTGTTTGAGAGGTCACGATAAAGCGTAGTGTATCCGCGTTTAATTAAAACGTCTGCTTGCTGGGGTATATTTATCATAGATAGCGCATAGAAAAGGTACACAATCATCATCATCTTCATCCGTGAACTCAATTAGAGTCGGGAAAAAAGATGAAACTCAGCATATGGTGATACTCGCCATCTCCCTCCTAGCCCCTAGCAAACGGAAAAAAACGACGTCCTTGGTTTTCATGACGGTTTGGAAAAAACATGACGTCTTTTGGAGGAATAGCATGGGGAACATCATGTTTTTTAAAAACGCCATGAGAACCAGGACGTCGCTTGTAAAGCCATAACGCAGTCGGATATCTCGAAGGCGAGCTAAAGCGACATTATTTACACTAACCCTTTGATTACGAGTTAATCAGGCTCATCCACGCTCTGGCAGGCTCACACACGGCCCCTACTCCATTCCCACAAGCGTGTTTGGGGCCTAACTAACCAGTGCCCCC